GCCCCGCGGGCAGGGTGGGCGACCGCCCCCCGGCTCTCCGACCGAAGGGGATGCGGCGGGGGGAAAGTTTGGAGCGGAGGGAGCACGTGAAAGAGCGAACGGGGCGCCGCGCAGCGTGGAAGAGGGGGGGGAGGTCGGCCCGGCCTCTCTCCGTTTTCCCACAGCGATGCCACAGCCGCATCCCGGAGTTTTTAGACGATTTTTTTGTTTGTTTGGGGTTTTGTTTGTTTTTTTTTTTCTCCCGGAGATCGCCCCTCCGCTGAGGCTTCCCTTCGGAGCTCGGGGAGCCCACCTCAGCGCCGAACCCCGCTTTTGTGAGAGAGGCTAAAGCGTCCTGCGTGGAAGAGGTCTCGTATCTAAGTGAACATCCCCATAATTGGCGCGGAGATTGTGACTGGGGCTGGGAACCGTGGCCTTCTAGGGAGGGGAATTTTTTTTTGGTTTGCATCAAGTGCCCGAGAAGGCCCCGGGAAGGGCTTAGCGGGCTCCCGGAGCCCCCCGAGCAGCCCAGATAAAGTTCCACGTGTCTCTTCTCCCCGAGTCCCCCCCGCCAGAGTCGAGCCGAGGGAATCAAACATTCAAATTCAAAAACGAGCCAGTAGGACTATTCCTAATTAATACAGCCCCGCTAATGAGTCAGCAGAAGCCAATCGGTTTCGTTGTTGCTCCGAATAATTAAACGCGGATGTGTGTCTTTAAGAGGGAAAAAAAATTACATGAAACAAACATTTCCACCTTCATTTTTCAACATGGCAGTTACCCCATAGCGGAAATATAATTCTTGGCCCAGGGCAGGGACAGTAACAGTGCTGATGAAATTCGCTGAGGCGCTTTTAATGCGGCCGTAACCCTGCAGTTCCTGGAGATAACATGAGGTTGTTCATTCCAAGCTGTGTTTACTCATAATCCGTGCCCATTACAACAGATTGAATAGCCTAATTTTAAACGCGCTCTGACGGAAAGTGACATTCGTACGAGCCCTGTTTCCTAAAGTAGCTTTCAAAGAAGAGTTTTGTTGTTGTTGGGAGACTATTAGTCTCATTTCCGGGGGCAGATTACGATACCTATAAAACAGTAGTGAGTTAAAACATCGCTCCACAATAGTTTGTATTGTTCACAGTCTCAGCTGGACTTTCACATTCAGATGTTGATTGCCTCCAATTATTTTTTTTCCCCAATTTCCTTAACCTCTTCAGCCCGGCTAATCCATAAACACACCTGGTAGAATTACAGCTCGCTCGCTGCATGCTTTGGGAGGTCATTTTAGAAACGTGTATTTCCTGAAAGCCAGCCTTCTCCAGAAAAAGTTTTTCTGCTTAGTGCGAATAGAGTTAAAAAAGAAAGGAACACCAGCAACCAAACACACGGTACGCTAAATACAAAGAGGTTTTTAGAAGAGCGGGTTTTCACCAACATACGTCAGAACGAAAACGCACCGTGAAAAAAGAACGCTCGGGACACGAGAAACCCACCGGCCCTACTTTAAAAAGTTGTGGCCAGGCAGTCTTTTGTTTGAATCCATCACGCAGAGACCAAAAAAAAAAAACAACCCCAAAATACTCCAGGCTTAGTTATATTTACATATTTTAGCATCGGTTACAGAATGATTTTTTTTTCGTCTTTTTTTTTCTTTTTGTTTCTTTTCTGTCTTTCAAGTTATTGTTTGCGTCCAAATCAAACCGTCGAAAATCCGACCGCAGGCAACGAAATAATTTCTTCTTTGACCCCATAATATTAAAAGGAATGAAATGTGCACGTTTGCCTGGCTGGGTCGTGTTAGAGTAGTTACAGTGACAGCTAAACAATCTGCACTGCAATCTCCGCTTCAGTCACATTCAAGCGTCCTCTCCGCTCCTCCCCCTACCCCCAGAAAACCCCGAATTACAAGAATCTGTTACCCCCCCAGCTCCGCCGGGAAAATATCCTGCCCGGACACATTTCGCAGCAGTTTCCCTTCACCATTTCCCCTCAGGAAAGCAGAAAGACAGCCGCTTCATTTTGCCACCGCAACAAAGTCACACTTTGCGATACCCCTGTATTTCATCCGCCTTTTATTTGTTTTCGGAATTCCCCCGCACCTCCTCCGCCAAACACTTCGCCTTCCTCCTCCCGCCGAAAACCCGGCCGGCAACCCCAGCGCCCTCGCACATACAGGTGCGGGGGCAGTTACCCTCTTAAGCTTAAAAGCCCTCCTTCTCCTCGTATATAAAACCACTTACACATCCTTCTCGCGTGCTTCGGCAGCGTCACCGAAACCAGCCTGTACCTAATAGCTCCTAATCCAAACAGTTTGGGCAAGGCGAAGCGTTGTTTAGACTGGCGGGGTACGGGGAGCCTGGCCGGGGGGACGCGGGCGGGTCCTCCCCAGTCGGTTCCCACTGTGATATTTTACAGTTGACACTGCACCGAGGTACAAGCAGAGGGGAGGAGGAGGGGGCAGAGGCGGCCTTGCTGGAATATCTTGCCCGGGGGCGAGCTCCGATGCTCCCCTAGGAAAGGTAGGCCGGATTTCTTTTT